TTTTTTTTTTTTACATTGTTGTAACAAACGGGCAAAAAGGTGATCCATCAAAAACCTTTTTTCATACAGGATAAAAATGAACTGACATCAACTAACATCTGAATAACAGTTCTGGTGGAGAGTGGCTCTGGCTTCATGGATGATGACACAATCTGGGTTTTATCTCCTCCAGTTCATTTGGACAGTTGTGGAAATAGGACAACAAAGATTCTCACTTGTGGCTGGAAATCAACGGGCTCCAGACCTCGACACTCGAACTGCACCATCGTCTTGAAGGTTTCGCTGTTCTCGGCCTTCAACCCAGCAGACACGACGCAACATTAGAGAAAGAGAAACTGAAAAACCTGAGAACTGACCGTGGATGTTTGCTTACATTGTAAGGTGTGATTGTGTCTCCCAGAATATCTGTAAGGAAAAAGTTGACATTTTGTAAGCTTTTAACTCTGCAAATTAAGACAAGATGAGCCGGATGTCATGTCACGACCTACCGATGGAATTTTCCCTGGAACAGAGTTTACACTTCTGCACCATGCTGGCGCTCCCTCGTCCTCCCTTGAGTGGCACACTCTCCTGTGAAGGCAAACACAAAGTACAGGTGGTATATTATATACGTGCAATTCTATAATAACAATAATAATAACAATAATAATAATAATAATAATAATAATGTTAAACTGAATAGAAAAATTGCCCTTTTTTCCTTACCACCAGAGTTACATACTGCCATTTATCTGGAATTTCTCCACAGTTTCCACACTTGAGCTAAATTTAAGGCAAAACAAACAACAAACACATAAATGATCTTTTAAAAAAAATGTTTACATGTTTCATTATTTAGTGAGTATGTGTCAGCATTACAGATGGTTAAATTAACGAAATTATTAAAGATTAGCAGAGAGGAAAAATGCATGATATTTTATTATGGATGAAAACAGTTTAGCATGCTAGCTTCTCATACCTTCAGGAACCAGCGGAAGTCGTCCCCCAATGGTCTAACATTGGTGACGTTCTCCAGGGTGGCTTTAAACTGCAGTCCAAATTTCTGCCATGCACAGGACGGAATAGGTGGTTAAAACTAACATAATAACAGCAGAAATTACCCCAGAGACACGCAGCAGCAGTACGTACCACCATCTTGACGCTTCCCCGCTGACAACTTCCTGAGGCATTCAGGACACCTCGTAAATTCGAACTTCCAAACCACTGACAGCTATTTTAAATGTTGCATTTTTTTCAGTTCATCTCATAACAATCATAACGTAGAAATAAATATTCGTTATAGGAATGAATGCACCATGCTTGCAGGTGACTAATAAACTAAAAATAAGTAATATTTTATTACGTATCTGCTCATTTTGTTGCCTAAATGAGGCATTTCAGCTGTTTCAACTAAAATTTTTCATTAAGCTCAATTACAAAATCTTTCGGCTCTGATGGCCGTCAGAATTTCTTCAGAACTATATCAAAAACGGTATCAAAGTACATTTTAAATCACCAATGCTAAAGCAGGACGGACGTGCGCCATCTAGCGGATGTACCAAATACAATATGAACTCTCAGTTTCCCTGTGAAATGCATTTAAATTGTTAAAATAATCACAAAGCTACAAAAACCGCATCAGTTTATTAACCGTTCAAATATAAATCACCAAACAAATCATCAATTCATCATACAGTACAAATCTTATGGTACAAATTATTAAATTAAGCACAACATTAAAAAATGGATCCAGCTGTTTGTTTTTTGTTTCTTTATTGTAACCTTTTCATAGTGGAAACTGCAAGTGTGAATACTTACTAGACATTTTAACCTGAGGCATCTTCACAGAGGCATTGTGGTGGATCTTGGTGGTTAATGGCCACACACCTGGGATAAGTGATATTGCTGTACCTGGCATTTCAAATCCATTGGTATCAACCTGAGTATATACATGCCAGCTCGAACTCGACAACTCATTTGTCCATGTGAACGTGAGCAAATTGTAGAAGAGGGAGGAGTATAGAAAAGCAATTCACAGATTTGAACACTTTGCTCACAAATCAAAGTCTGCGCCATTTAAAACAAGGATCTGTATGAGCTTCAGTCATTACACATGTGAGCCATTTAGACAGGACAACTAACCCCATAATTAACAGTTGCACTAGACATAGTTATCAGAGCACTCAGTTGAACCCTCTGGCATTTGGCTTCATTGATCTGCTAGTCGTGTTATTCTGCACGTAGCAACTGGTACTGAAAAATAAAAAGAAATTGTGTTTCTTCTGTTACAGGCATACAAAAGGTGTGGACACTACAATACACTTAACACAAACGAGAAAAACCAGGAACTGAATGAAAATTGTTGGAGACACTCCCAAGATTGTCAGTGCAAATCCAGCTAGAGTGCACCTGATTCATCACTTGTCTAACTCGCGTTCCTTTCAGAACACTAAACATATCATCAGATTCCCCCCGAGGGCTTCAAGTTTTATCAGACATAAAAAAAAAAAAAAAAAAAAGGATTCCCCAATTTTATTCATTTACAGCATGAACTTTAACAGAGCAGCAGGGGATACATAAAAAGAAAGGAAGGGAAAAAAAAGGGGCAGGGGTGAAATGCATGGGATCAATATTTAACCAATGGTCTCATCGCAACAAGAGCTCATCTTTACCCTCATGACAAAATAAAAATCAAATCCTTACAGTTACAATGAAATAACCAATAACATAAGAGTAGTCATGATATAATAAAAGGCATTTCAATTCTCTTTGCATTTCTTCTTCATCTCTTTTAAATACAGTGATGCCCACAGGCATTATTTACAACACCCCACACCCCTCTCCCTTCTGTGAAGAGAGGTGTGACGGGGTCAGTGAGGCCGACTGCTTGACTCGGAGGTCCGCCGCTGCCGTGGAGTGCTGTGGCCGTTCGTGCAGCCGTTGTGACGTTTGCTTGGTCCGCCGTTCAGAATGTCTTGGATGTGCTGTACTATTAAGTTGATGGCCACTGAAAGAGGAAATGGAAAGTTTGTTAAAGACCTCAAGATGCTGTGTGGCAGAGGTGTGTTATTTGTATCACTGGAGCGAGTGGTGAGCAGGAGTAAGCGCGAACATGTGTTTGTTTTGCCTCGCATGGGCAAACTCAAGCACAATCCAAAGGACAAGTTAAACATGTTAGTTATTTGTAGGTTAAGATGTCACAACAACAATCACTGAGGCCTCACCAAGATTATCTGCTCCTCGTGGAATAATGACATCTGCATACTTCTTCGTCTAGTAGAAATAAGAAATGTTCTTATGATTAAAGTGCCCAATACAGCAGCTCAAAAATATTATAATATGGAACAATTCTTTATTCTAAACAAGTACAAGCACACAGCGCTCTCTAGTGGGCAAATATTGGAGTGGCAATAATATTTCTTGTTACCAAAAAAATAATTGCCTGTATCAGTGTTAAAACTAGAATGGTGTCAGTCCAGGTTTAGTGTCTCAACAAGACAAGAGCACTCACAGGTAAACAGAACTCCTCGAAGGCCGGCTTCACAAAAGTGATGTACTGACTGAGCACTTGCTCCAGGTCTCTGCCACGTTCACTGATGTCTCTCAGAACTGAAACAGAGACATGTTATACATTTAGACATGAAAAACAAAAGTACACCAATGTAAAAAAGAAACAAGAAACACACACACAACACAAACACACTATGTGATGATAACAGACAGTCCAAATGTACTTTTGAAAACCAAAAGCACTTTAACAGTGCACTTAAGTGACAATCGTTACACTAGTGAGTAGCAACCCAAATCACGCTATACACCTCGACGCGACAGCCGTGTGTCGGGATCTGTGTCAACAAACAGCTTCATCTGGAACAGATCTCTGATTTCCTGCGAGTAGAACATGAGGATGCCCTCAAACAGGACCACATCAGCCGGATACACCATAACAAACTCGTCTTTCCTGGAACACACAGAAAGGTGCCTCTTCTCTGTGAGCGACTGCATTTACACGCATGTCAAAACAAATTTAAGCATATTACACAATCGAAGTTACACATCAAATGCTTTATTTGTTTAACTGCATAAAGCCTCTGTTGTGCTTCTATGATCACATGATGAATTGTGGCTAAATTAAACAGCATGGTAAACAAAGAGGCACTCACCTGGAATGAGTGACAAAGTCATAAACTGGGATCTGGACAGTTTCCCCCTGAAGGATCTGTCTCAGTGTTTGCATGATCAGCTCGCTGTCAAAGGCATCTGAGGTCAAGAAAGGGAAAACCGAAAAATGCTCAGTTACAATTGGTCACACTTAACCTCCATTACTACAGCTCAATGTGCACCCAGACACGTGGCACCGCTCCCCGCACATTTGGTAACCCAGGAATCGCTTTCGTATAACATGTGTTGTGTTCAGTCTGAGCCTGGCAGCAGCTGCCTGAGGACGGCTTGCTGATGGTGCAGATTTAAAATCAGCCCAGAAAGGAAGCGAGGGTGAAAAGCCTGACTCCAAAAATGGACTCCAAAAGTTCTATGTATTGCTGCCACTGTTAGGTGTCATTTAACATATTTTATCCTCCAGTTGTTTAACCGTAATCCCCTTTGGACTGCATGTGCACATGAAAGATGCCATTTAGTTAATACAATAAGCCAGGTAAAATGACCTAGCCACTAAAACCTGTAACATGTAGCAAAGATTTAACGTGCATCATACCTGGATGATCAAAGTTAAATTGGCCCTTGAGTGCCTTGGCTTTCTGCTCAGGAGTCAGCACCTTGTAAAAGCTGTCCTGGCTGAGGATCGCCACCTGCCGCTGATGGTGGTCAATCTTGTTCTGTCCCAGCAGCTCCATGATCTTCTCACACACAGACGACTGTGGAAATGATCAAGAACATGAGTGTCAGGAGAGTGCACCAATATGACTGCTGAATACCAGTATCGGCCAAACATCAGCATGATACATCCCATGTGGGCTAAATATCAACCCACATAGATTAAGATTTTAACCTAGAAATAACCTGGGTGAGTAAACATCCTGCATCACGTTTGCAAACTGCTATAGGCAAACTGCCCTGTGGCCAACCTTTTTTGTCCTCACTGACCTCCCAAACTAAAAGAATCTCATGCCCAATGCTGACAGGGCATTCCCCCACTGCCTGAGGCTCTGCTTCCTTTTGTACCCATTACACTGTGCTACAACGAATTTAAACAGCCTCACACCAGAGCTGGAAGCTTGGGTCAATGCCCTCAAATGGGGTAGTTTCTGATAAAATGGACAAACTTTGAATGTACCCTTGAGCCACCCCAGTGACACAGGGAAGATCATCTACAGCATCACCTTGAAGCTTTAACTTCTAAGTTTAGCCCTCTTGGAGAAATTCAAAATAAAAATTTTAAATACACTAAAGTGAAGACGTTTTACTTTTAAATATTAAGGTTATGTATAGAATTTTTTTTTGTATTAATGTTTGGTTTTTTTTTAAAGAAAAATCATATTCATTATTTTGTTGCCATTACAGGCAGGGGGAGACCTTCAGCAGTAAGGCTAATGAATATGAAACAAAACTGGTATGTCTTCTAAATATACCAAACGCGGAACATGACATCACTCACACCCTGAGCAGCGTCAAACCGGAAACTGACAGGAAAACACTGACATAATGCCAATAACAGATGACACGGTTTAAAGAGCCAGAAAGAGGGCCCAAAGGAGATGAATGTACGACGGGCTCACAACAAAGCCGC